CAATGTTTACAAGTTCAGTCTAATTACCTCAGGGTTGAAAAACGTGTTTGGTGAGTTGCTTCACATCATTGTTTGGTCTTTTTTAATGCTGTGAAGAACAAGATGCCTTTCATTACCTGCAGTGGTATGAAGATACTTGCAGCTCGAAGCAGGAAGAATGTGTTTGAATGAAAAAACATTTGATTTGGGCATTAAATACTTTATTTGTTAGATAAAAATCTCCCCTCTGTGGATTTTGTCTGAGCAATGTTTTATTCGGCACATGTTGGTAATCAGATGCCAGATTTTTTTTTCTTCTTCTTCTTTTTTTTTTTTTAAAGGCACGGCCAACTAAAAGTTAGAAGAAAGCTAAAAATTAACAAATGAAAAGGAGAGTTAATGATCTGCTAATGGACAGCTATAGGCTCCGTCTCTTGCTGGGGCGGTTGAGAAGGAACTGAGGATACTTAGCCCACATGTGCTGCTTAGCCTCATGGCCCAGCACAAGAAGAGTGACAGTACATGTTGTGGCCCCAACGGACACTGCTACCAAAGTTCTCCGACCAGCAGCGCAGGGACGCCCACACACCTACCGTGGAGCAACCATAGGGACACTACTAGAAGAATAAACTGGAGTACTTGTGGCACCTTAGAGACTAACCAGTTTATTTGAGCATAAGCTTTCGTGAGCTACATCCGATGAAGTGACCTGTAGCTCACAAAAGCTTATGCTCAAATAAATTGATTAGTCTCTAAGGTGCCACAAGTCCTCCTTTTCTTTTTGCGAATACAGACTAACACGGCTGTTACTCTGAAACCTAGAAGAATAAACTGTTTTCCTCTTTAACAAGTCCAGTCTCTTCACGAGTACCTTGCTGCTGAGAGCTATTCCAACCTCCTTTTCCAAAGGCAGTGGAAGGACGTGGTCAGAAGAAGTCAATCCACTGTTTGAGTTTCCTACTGAACAGACTCTACACCCATCACTTTTTCTTATTGATGAGTGCAGAGCACGTCTAACACTGGAGAGATTTCTTTCTGCTCCAGCTAGTCAGGCTGCGATATGTGCCTTGGATGAAGAGATCAACCAGCTCTGGATACAAACAGGAGGGAGCCAAGGACTAAATTTGGTGTTGGGAGACTCTTGATGTTTTTTTCTGCTCTCCTTCATATGCTTTGCCTTTTACCCATCTGAAGATGAGCCACATGATTTTCCCTTCTCTCCATTTTAAGCCCTCAGTTTCCCTCTTTATCTGGTTAGGATTTAATCTGGGGATTTCCAGTGAAGACCAGGAAGAGGGTCCTGTGATGGCTACAATACACTTGTTCACCTCTTTGCTGGATCTCTTGAAAAAAGTTTCTTTCTTTGTGATTCTGTTAGTTGTAGTAGGGCTAACAGGGTAAGCAGCTGCCTGAAGCTGTGTCTTAGCAAAGGCTAAAGAAAAGAAATGAGTGGCAAGGGCCATGTTGGGAGCAGTTGGCACAAATTTTTTTTCTATCTGCTGGCTCTGTCTGAGCAACCATGAAACCCACTGGAGAAAATGGATGGCTCTAAATACAAGAGTAATGATTTGCATTAGCTTTAGTTTAGTGAAACTTAAATGGATGATTCTTCCTAAAGTAACTTACAGAATTTTAAACAATGAATTTAAACTTACTGTAGAAGACCTTGTTTTTCAGGGCTATATAGCTGACCCTTGTGAACCTACATTATTCAAGCTATGCAATATATATATGTATAATAAATAACTTTAGAATTTATGGAGTAGAACAGAAAGGATATTAACAGGCAAGCAGAGGGACTGTGCAACCCTCAGAAGGCTTTTAAAGATTTATTTTTTTAAATGAAGGAATGTGTGCATGTGAGGGGTAGTACTCTTAATTGATATACTTGTAGACTCCTTACAGAAATGCATGCAATATGATCCAAAATCTGTCCTCAATCTGGTTGCTTGGCTGTTGACTTCAGTGGGAGCAGAATTATCCCACTGCTATTTTCTTTGATTTTTAAGAAATTTCCCTCTCTGTGGGCACAATGCAACTGCTACTAAAATCAGTGGTGAGACTCCCCTTGACTCCAGAGGTATTTGGATCAGGGTCCATGGTAATGGTCTATGGCAAGTGTAGAACAACACAGTGAATATGATTTCCGTATGCACTTTTGTGTGTGCAGTTTTTCATTTTCTAAAGCCTGCAGTTTGGCTTTCATCCTGGCATTCAGCAGATCAGAACTGCAGGGCTATGTTGATGTCCATGCTGGGTCTGATACACCGCAAGCTGTGGACCGTGTGTGCACTGAGAATGAGCTCAACATCAACTTGGAGGGATCAGGCCTTTTAGACCCAACAGCATGTGCTAGTCTAGGGACGCTCCCACACAGACACTGCAAACTGCAACTAATCAGATACAAGGATTCTGATATAGTGGGGGAAAATACCCATTACTAAAACTGAGTAAGAATAATTTTCCTGATTATTTATTAAGGAAAAAAGTACTATTGACAAGTCACCAGTGACATTCCAATAATTCATTAATGTTTGTTTTACAAGAAGCATTAAGACTCCAGAACTGACATTTCTAGTTTTATTGGGGTTTGACACATTTTATATTATTCACTGTCATTGCGGCTTTTTGGGGTGGCAGTTGTGAAATGTGCTTCCTTAAGACTGAGCACTGCATAGTAAGGAGAACAGTTGTTGAGAAGCTGCAAAAGAATGTCAAACAGACACAAAATAATAACAATAGAACATCCGAATCAGAATGATTCGGGGTGCCTAGCAAAGCGTAATTTAAAATGTGACATAATAAACAGAGGCAACATATTAAAAAAAAAAATTCAGAACTGGCAGAACAGATTTCACAGTTTTGCCAATTCATCTCCAAACCTGGCAATCCTTTTGCAATAAATTATAATTGTTCTAAAACAGCACTGATAAGAGAAGCTAGACACCGTCATTCAATAGTCAGAAAAATTTTTTCAGACATTGTGGCTAGAGATGAGCAGAATAAAGGCCCTCAAATCTGAAACATTTCAAATTTCAGAGAGAGAGAAATAGTGACCCAGAATGCCAGACGTCTCACCAAATCACCTGACATGATGAGATTTCTAGAGTGTGATGCTGAAATTTCCTGAGAAAAGCTCTTAAGATTTTGATATTATTGAATATAAACACTAGCCCTGATTCTCCCTTGAACTTGAACACTCAGCTCTAACTTTAAACTCTAATCCAAATGGAATCCAGATCTAAGCACCACCATTTTTGACTCATCCCTGTTTGTGACTTGTTTATTTACTAGTCAAGTATTCAGTATAAACATTCAAAACATTAAAGGAAACAGTGTTGTACCATAAAGAAGAGAGGCAGCAATAAAAGCACACCAAATCAAAAATCAATTTGATGGATTTGTTAAAGGGATATGAGAATTCTATCTTGTATGTTTAAAAATCCTATATGAGATAGATTTTTAATGCCCCCAGAAGTGTGAAAGGGGCTTTAGATTGTAAGCCCTACAGGGCAGACATTACAAGCCTCTTTTCTGTGTTTAGATAGCGTCCAGCACAATGGGGCCCCACTCTCAACTGGGGCCTCTGGGTGCTACTACAATATAAACACTTACTACTAATAATTATAAGTTCAATTTTTAAAAACATCAGAAAAAAATTCAGAATAACCAGGGATTGTCTCAGTTTCAATTATCTCCAATGTTGGATGTCACCATTTCTTGATTCCAAGCACTAATGAAAATAATTATCTGTAGTAACAGAAGGTACAGAATTTCAATTGCCAAGGAGGCCATAAGAGATGCTGGGCTGTTGTTTTTTGGGGTTTTTGGGGGGTGGTGGGAAAAGAAGGGTATTGTTTTTACCTCAAGTTCCTCCCTTTGTAACTTCATCTATCTTTTCACATACAATCCCCTCGCTCAATTACTGACAGTAAATGCTTCTCTGGGCCCTTTTACAATGGAAGCCAGCCATGATGTCCCTTCCATGGGTTCAATTTACTTCTACTTAGAAACTGTCCTACCTCAGAGAATACTAGTACCTGCTCACAGTGGTAACCTTTTGGTTTAGCCTTTCTCAATGGGACTTCTGTGCTTACGACTCCCTATTAAAACAATGCAGCAGTCTCACTGCAGTATTCTTAAAATTCACGGCCATGTGGCTGCTTTCTAACAAGGTCGAATAGCTGTCTTCAGAAACAAGTTTTAGAAATAAAGGTAGAAAAAGAAGAAGCAAATTAAGATTTGAGTCTTACTGCATCTTTTCTCTCCATGTAATACTACCACCTTCACAGAATCATGCCAATGAAAATATAGACAGCTCTGAAAAAACTTTTATCACTCAAGAAGTGGTTAATAGTTTGAGTGGCTGCTGTGATCATAGATTTCCAGTCCTGCTTCGAGAGGGTCAATGCTTCAGCAGAGCGTCCTGTCAGTTTTATTGTGTGTACTTTTGGGTGAGGGGGGTATAGAGAAGTGGTTGCAGAAAAATGAGAGTATTTCAAAGTGACTGTTTTGTTTTGCAGGACAATTTGAAATCCTGCAATCTCAAATGATGAGCTGGACAGATACTGTGAGTCAGGCACTTCAGAGTGTTCCGTTATCATGAAAACATCAATAAACAAAACAACGTTAAAAGCACACAGATAAAAATGAAAGTAAGGCTGTAGGCACCCCCTAGGGGGTCATGACTCATGACCCATGGTTTGAAAGCCTCTGCTATAGTGAAATAAGCCCCAGTACTGCATGCAGCAGGCTCTATTACAGCATCCCCCTAATTAAAACAATTTTAATGGAATAAAGATCTCCCTCCTGGACTGTAGAGACGAATGCTACTCTAATTTTGTGAAACTGTGGCATTTAACTAGGAAGAAGATGCACCATTCATTTTCAGAGATCTCTAGTCAGTTGTTCAAAGACTGAGTCTTTTTATACTACACATATGCACTTACTGCTTGAAAATGAAAATCCTTGTAAACATGGTCTACTGTAATATTCCAAAGTAGCAGCAGGTAAGAACTTACCATTTTCTGGCTGGTCCTTAATATCAGCTTCACTTGGCTGGCTGGGACTTTCAGATTGACTTGAATCTGAAAAACATAAAATACAGCCAAAAATTACAGGGTCTGCTGTGGAAAGTAGATCACAGGCGCCAGACTTCCTTAAAAGGTTGAAAGTACAAGCTAAGGACAGGAATGTTGCACTAGGACATGACAATGCTAGGAGGCCAGTGCCCTGGTCGTATTTATGCTAGGAAGAAACTGTATCTTGTTTACAGCATTGTATGGGGTGTTCAGTCTGTGCATTAGCATAAATTAGGCTTAGAGAAATCTTCTCTTTAGAGGAAGCCTGATTTAAACTGCTTTTCTACATTTTTTTATAATGCATTTTGCATGTTGCATGCAAACCTGAGACTTAATCCAGAGTCAAAACATATTTTTAAATTGGCATATAACAGTAACTAACTATAAAACTAATGTTAACTAACATGTTCTGATTACTGTCTATATGTTACAGCAACAAGAAATTCACAATACAGATAGAAGACCTGATTCTCATCATGCTTTCACTGTGGGTACGTGGTGTAGCACACTGAAATAAATGGCATGACTCCCCATTTACAGTGGTGTAAAGTGAGATCAGATGCTGAACCAACGGCTTCAGAACATGCACCAATAATGAGTTCTACAGGTTCCTAGTTAAAATTCTCCAACTAACCTACTAATATATTTGCCTGAAACAATAAAATGACCCATAAGATCATTTCTGTTGATGTAGGTTTGTTAATCTACATTCACTTTCTTTTGTACTAAAAAGCTGTTTTTAGTTTAAAAATAATGATTTTTAGCAGAAGCTTTGGGTAAACAAGATTTTTGTTTCATAATTATTTTTAACTGTCTGCTCTTCAAATTGGAAAAAAATGCTTTATATGTGTAAAAAAATATTTTCTAAAGAAAAACTCAACCTCTTAACTAGGTTTTCTTAAGACCAACAGAAACATTACAGAGTTAAAAGAAATCACACTTTATCAGTTTGGAGTAAAAGAACAATTTGGGATAAACTTAAAAGTTAAAAAAAAGTTTTAACTCAAAACACACTTAAGGAATGAAACCATTGTTACTGTACTAAAAAAAAATCTACATTTGTGATAAACCTATTTCCTCACTTCACCTTGACTGTGCAAGGTTTAGAAATAGCTGTCTGAAATTGGACTACATTTCAGTAAGAAGTCAATGCAAGATCAAAAGGTCATGACACTTAACTGTGATTAAATTGAAAATCTTACTTCTATTGCAATAGAGTGATAACACCACCCCTTCTTTTTCTTTGAGGTATTAATAGCACTGAAAGAAGCAGCACTACTAGAGACCTGGGATCAAGCAATGCTAATTTATTGCTTTAAAAAGGCCCCTTGCTTTTAAGCAAATGAAGATTTTAATTACTACTGAGTTCTATATAGAAAATGCCAATTTTAAATATTTTTAAAAAAATTACCTACTGACTGTATCTGTTAACTATCATGAAAAAGCTTAAAGGACAATTCCGTGTAAGTTAAACACTACATCTAATAAAAGGTGTGCGCAACATAATTTTCATAAAGTTTGTAATATAAACATTAAAAATGTTTAGTAAAGATAGCTCCAGGGTAGATATCTGTAGTTAAAATCAATGTGTAGTTCAGCTAAAAAACCTGACAATGTGATATCCCACAACACTACTATCTACCTCTAAGAACTATCTTCTCCTCCAGCTTCTAAATGCATTACTTTAATCATTTCATAAAGGAAGTTTGGAAAAGATTTTAAATTTAAACTTTGCCGCTAACATTTTATTTTAAATATCAGCTTTGTGGGTTAGCATTACCTTATGCACCCTAAACGCAGATCCTGGATAGCAGATAGTCCATATAAGCCCATCCTCAACATTGCCATATTCTGGACACCATATTTTGACAGACGTTTAATGTTTTTGGTACCACAAAGGTCAAAAATTCAGTCAACATTCGAGGACTAATTCAACATATTTCATTTCATATGACATGCATTATGTTTCTTTTTTCCCCACCAAGCCGTTGTTCAATCACTGTTTGACCTTTACAACTAAAATAATGTTAAAATGTAGTAAAAATATTTATTTTTAAAAAACAGACAGTGAAGAAATATGGAAATAAGATGAATAACTAAAAAAATATTTTAAAAGTCATTTAGACAGCAGCGGGAATGGCCGATCACTGGTACATGCAAGGATGCCAAGCTACGAGCTGGCACACTTCTGATACCCAGTGTGGTACCTTCGCTCTTCATCGATGCTCCATATCCTGTATTTGGCACAGAAACTCAGACTTTCTCTCTAGATTCTGAGACACAAAGAATGCATTTTTGTATATGTTTAGTGCCGCTCTCCAGATACTAGAATTAGTGGCAAGACAGACACTGAGCCCAGAACATTTGTTAGCATATTGAGTCTTGACTTTTTTTTTTCACATCTAGCTACAAATCCTATTTTTCTGCAACCCTCTCCTCATGTAAATAATACCCCCAAAAACTATAATTTTGCAAACGGGTGAAGGAAAATAAAATGCAGTAAAATGTGTTTTTAAAAATACAATGACACAGATCATCTAAGGCTCCCAAAAATATTAACTGGGCAAAAGTCTGCTCAGAATTGTCATGCAAGGTACCGTCTCATGGAAACCCCTGATAAGAACACTGAAGAAGGCACATAGCCAAAATGTTTCTATGCAGAATTTTGTTTCCCTGGTTTTATTCAGATGCTGCAGATGATCTGGCACATATAAATGTGCCACCACACAATTAAAGGATTGGCAAAATTCAGTGCCATTGTATTTTATAACCTTGTCGAGGACTACATAGTTTTTGTTCACAGCCCACCTCACTTTTTCCTGAGTTGGCAATAGCTCGCACTATTTTTCATTTTGATTTAGGAAACTTTAAACCCCCAGCTTTCTGAATGTTTCATGTTTTGTGGGTTCTGATATTGTGGGTGGGAAGTCAATCCTGCTGAGTCAGTTAGCCAAACAGGTGACTAGAGAAATAAATTAATTTTTGTCCACACATATTAGATATAAATGAAAGATTGTTTTATAAGTATTTGCATGAAATCAATAAAATCACTGATTATAAAGCAGTTTAACAATGCATTTGACATTCTCTTCTCTGTGTATTTGATAGCTGCTTCACACAATACACTATATACACTTCATGCCTATTTTCTTTAGCAACGACATTGCCAGTTAAATTCTACCACCTGCAATAATTAGAGCCATTGAAAAACACACAAAACAAAATATACAGTAGATGGGAGGCCCTCTTGAATCCAGGGCCCCCTGCGGCAACGAGTTTCATTGGTGCCTGAAACTAGGGCTGGTAGGAAGCCAAAGAATCTGTATATTACAATAAAGTGCATGTTATTAAGAGGTGTATTTAAATGATTTCAGATGGAGTTGGAAACATCATAGTGAGGAAGCACTATTAAGATTCCGGATTTTTTCTAAATCCAGGAGTTTAGTTTTATGTTTAAGGAAGCTTAACCTTGAATAGCACAGCATTTTTTAGTTTAAAAAAAGCCCACCGGTAGAATTTTAACCCGTAAGCAGCTAGAGTTAGCATGCATGAGAGTGTACTCGGGTTACTGGACTATTGGGGCTCAAATGGGGCTGAAATCAATAACCATTGTAGGGAAACAGAATAAAAGGAATTTTGAAGCTATATTTATTCTGTATCTCCACAAGCCAACTATTAGTGGGGGTGAAAAAAGACAAAATGGGCCAGATTTTCTGAAGCAGCCTCTGATATTGTGCCTGTATTTTCTGTGCCTCTTAGGATCAGGCCCTTAAAAACATGCTACCCCAATGCAACAGTGGGTGTTATATGGAAGAGCTGAGTCTGATCTTGAACTTGACCTCAAACTGTGGATAGGCATGGTCCTTTAGCTCAAGCAGGAAGGATTTGTGCATTCTGACGCTGATGGTCCTGGGTTTCATTCCCACTGTCAGTTGTGCTGCCTTGTATGCATGTGACCACAGATTCACTACAGAGTAGAAAAAGAGCTCGTGGTGCTGTGTGTCACTGAACAGAAGTGATCCATTTTTTGACAACGATAAAACAGAAATATGAAAGGTTCACTGAAAACTCTGGGTTCTGGGTGGTAGCAACATCAACAGACTAACACTGCAGTCCTTACTTGTAGACAAGGAAGAAACAGACCTGAAACAGAGGCACAGAGGTATCCTACTTCCTCACAGAAAATGACCATAGTTTTACCAATTGCTTGTGCAGTTTGATCATCAAAAATACACTTATCCACTTACCACTACTACACTACTTATAATTATGCTACCTTGGAGAGGTACTGTATGGTAAACAGAAAATCTCCTCTAACATTTTCATTCAGGACATGCAATGTTCTTCCTCTCAACGTTTCCTGTTTGAATCTAGGCCAAAGTGGTAGTGACCTTAAGCGACCTATCTTGGCTATCTGGTGTTTTATGTTAAATGAATTAGTGGGTGTCAGATTAATTCCTACCAAACTAGTGTCCATATCACAACTGAACCCTTGTTAGCGGTTTCATCAGAGAAGCCAGTGTGTGAATGGGCATGGAAATGTATCTACCCTCTAACTGGGAGAGGTGGTCCCTTCAAGATAGAGGAAAAGCATGTTGGTGGGGATCGATCAGGAAGACTGTATTAACACTGCCCACGCTGACCCTGTTCTGTGGATAAATAAATAGAGAGCTCCTTTCTTCAGTACTGCCAATCCATACCTTTCACAAGCACTAGAAAAGTGCAAAGTTAAATTTTCCATTCATGTAATGTTTTATGGGGAAAATATTGTATAATAAACTGACACTTTATTCACGTTTCAGAGTCTTATTTGTAATAAAATATTTATACGGCTGGGTTGTGTTTGTACAATACATTTTTCATCTATAATTTGGGGTACAGATTCCACCAAAGATTTATATATGTAAAAAAATCTAAATCATATCCCTTTATACACAAACATGTATGCTGAGTTTAAGGGATCAGTGATTTACAAGCAGAAACCAGAACAGGTATTGAGACTTTTT